GAGAGCCAGCCACCCAAAAAGAAAACCCAGCTTCGAGCCGTCACCCTCCGCCACGAAAGAAGAGACGGGGGATTGAGACTAAGAGAAAAAAGAAGAAGAAAAAAAAGGATCTCGGCTTTTTCAGCCCCTCTGCGGCAACAGGAGCAGACAGCGAACCCGGTGGATTTTTTTTTTTCTTCCCTTCTTTGGCGTTTCTTTTCCAGCACAAGGACTTCCACTCAGGAAAAAAAAAACCCAAAAACCAACAACCCAAACCTGCAGAGACCGAACACGAAAAAAATGCAAGACTAATAATGAACAATCTTGTTAATCCGCTGTCCCGAGGGCTGGGGATGTGCCCCGGCTCGGGAAGTTGTAGGCTGTAGAAGTTCTGCCTCTCCCCCATGTACTGTGCTGTCTAGAGCTTGTTTCCCCCCACCCTATTTTTTTTTTTTTTGGTACTTTATTGCTGTTATTGTTATTATCTTAATTTTTCTTCTTCATGATGTGCTGTTAGAAACCACTCCGGGACTACTCCAGCAGTAGGAAGACCGAGGAGTGGAGTGGATGAATATACCGATGAGAGATCCAGTAATCCCTGGGACAAGCATGGCTTATCATCCTTTTTTACCTCACCGGGCACCGGACTTTGCCATGAGCGCTGTGTTGGGACATCAGCCTCCCTTCTTCCCCGCTCTGGCTTTGCCTCCCAATGGGGCAGCCGCCCTCTCCCTTCCCGGGGCTCTGGCTAAACCCATCATGGATCAGTTAGTGGGGGCTGCAGAGACTGGTATCCCCTTTTCTTCCCTGGGTCACCAGGCAGCAGCCCATCTGAGGCCTTTAAAAACTCTGGAGCCAGAAGAAGAGGTGGAAGATGACCCGAAAGTGCATCTGGAAGCCAAAGAGCTTTGGGAACAATTCCATAAAAGAGGCACGGAGATGGTGATTACCAAATCGGGAAGGTAGGTCTGGGTCGGGGGTTGGTGCCTTTTTTTTTCCCCCTCTCTTCTCCCCCACCCCTCAGTCTCCGCACCCCACCTGGCTGCTCCACAGCAAGGCTCTTCCACCGACAAGTTCCTCCGTAAAGCTCCTTTCACCTGGAATTATGGAAAGTTTTAGGCAGCTGAAGATCCCAGCCCATCTCGGGCACCGCGCTGCGGGGAAAGGCTCAACCACTGAACCCCGACCCGGCCCTGCTCAGCCCGTGCAGGGGGCGAGAGGGTCCCTTCATGGTTCAGCGGCTTAAATGCTTTCTGGAGAAGACTGGTAGCAGAAAGAAAATAATTTGGGGTTGGAAAAGGAGCTGGCCTGATTTCAGCCTTGCCACGCGTAGTTTTTCTTCCTTAAGGAAGAGAAGGGGGAATACAGGAAAAATTCTTTGGAGCGGTGTATCGCTGCTGGTGCGGCGGGAGCTGCAGGAGGGCAGATAGGCTCGGCTTTATCAGTTGCTTGTGCCTGTCTCTCTACTGGGGATCTGGGCGTGCATTTGGGCCGACTAATTCTATCTGGAAATGCAGAAAAAGCTGACAAAAATGCCCAGGGGTCCTGCAGCCGCTGCCGGAGTGGCCGGGAAGGTTTTGCAGCTCCGCGCTGCCTGTCCCTGTATTTGTACAATCCCCACGTGGGAATGAATGAACACACACGGCGCGTCCACGCTCGGCGGTTCTGCTTTTTATAGCAGAAATCCCTCTCTGCATTCGCCACTCTTTGACATCCCTGCTCTTTTCCAACTCTACCCGTTGCTGTGAGGACACGGAGGGAGAAAACCCCCTTCGCACCCGCGCGTTTTTCTAAGGGACTCTCTTAGAAACCTCCCAAACAATTCGCGTCTAATTTGCCAGGAGAATTATTCGAGGAAGTCACTCCTGAAAAGTCTTCTTAGATGGCCTTGCTGGAGCTTCACCTACTTGCAGAGCACCAGTTGCAGACTACAGGCTCAGGAAAAAAAAAACCCAACCAAACTAAAAGCAGCAAGGAGGCGGAAAAAAAATAATCCCCTCGCCCATTTTACTGCTTTCCCGAAGTTTTCCCTGTTAATTGTGGTCAAAAGTTTTTTGCGCGAAAGCCTCGGCGAGCATTAAGCGCTCTTACACGTTGCAAAGTCATGTGTTTCCTTTTAAGTTGAGATTGCTGAATGCCAACCGCTCGATATAATAAACAGCAAATTTGTGGTATCCTGTTGCAGTTTCGAGCTGGACTCGGGAGCGGCGGGGAGCGGGGTTTGCAGGGAGCCCTCGGCACCGGTGGGGTCATCACCGGGGGGCTGCGGCGCTGGGGAAGCCACCCTGCCCTGGCTGGAGGCTTGGGGGTTGGGTTTTTTTTTCTCTCCTCTGCAAAGTGAAAAACTCCCCGCTCCGCAGTTCCTCGGTGGAGTGGGGTTAAAACAACGCGGAATATTTATGTTATCGGGGTGCGATCTGTTCCCGTTTCTTTGTTGAGCGGGCAAAAGGGAATTAATGAGAGATCTGAGAGCCCCAAATGAGGCTTTGCTGTTCAGGAATGGCAGAGGGCAGGCGCCCGCTGATTTCTAGGGAACGCGTACCTCTCCCATCCCAGGGACCATTTTCTCCTGAAACTTTTAAGCGTTTGAGGACCCTTTTCGCTGGGGGCGGGGGGAAGCCCTTTTGCTGGGACACGGACACACACACACGACTTTTCTGCTGCTTAGAGCTGAAGCAATTGCTTGGTGGACGCGCTACCGAGATTCGGGAGCTTGCGTAAACGCTGTAATTAATTTTATTTTATTTTATTTTCGTCTTGTCTTTTCTTTACACACACCCCCCCTTCCCTCTCTCTGCCCGTAGGAGAATGTTTCCTCCATTTAAAGTGAGATGCACTGGACTGGATAAAAAGGCCAAGTACATTTTATTGATGGATATTGTGGCGGCTGATGATTGTAGGTACAAATTCCATAATTCCCGGTGGATGGTAGCCGGCAAAGCTGACCCTGAAATGCCAAAGAGAATGTACATCCACCCGGACAGCCCGGCCACCGGCGAACAATGGATGTCCAAAGTCGTCACCTTTCACAAGCTGAAGCTCACTAACAACATCTCTGACAAGCACGGATTTGTGAGTGCCTTTTACACCTTCCCCTTCCCCCTCTTCCCCTCCCTCGCTGATCTGCGGGGGAAAGGGGGATAAACACCCCCCTCCACGCATCTCTCCTGTTTACAGTACTCCTTGGGGTTTCATTTTTTCTGTTGCTGAGGTCAGGGTGAAACACTCGAGTTTATTCTGTAACCTCTCCGTGCCATTCAGCGTTAACTTTAGAGATATATTTCCAGCACAGTGCAACTCGATATTTCTCGGAGCTGTGGTGACTTTATATCTCCATATATATATTTTTTTTAATAAAGTCGATCACGCTTTTTAAGCGTAGGAAAACGATATGCATATGTGTATAAAGGGCTTAAAGGCCTAAGTATGCAAACATTTAAATATATATTAATCTGGATAATGTAAAGCAAAGCCGGAGTGAAAATAAACAGGGACCAAAATCAGAGGTCAAGTTGCCCATTCATGTCTATCCACTCCTTTACATTTACTGGGTGCACAGAGATAAAAACTTAGCCTAAGAGTGAAATCAAACAAACCTGCTGATAAGTGCTCTGACGGTCCTTGCCATTTCTTCCCGTTCCTGGGAGAGCCTCCGCCGCGGAGCCGGGGGTTGCTGGGGGTGGCCGCGGTCGGGGGAATCTCTAATGTGCCGAACATTGCATTTGCTGGCTGGGATTTGATTAGACGGTACATTTTTGCCTTTCGCAGAAGGCCTTAAGTGGATTGGGGCAAGCAATTAGACCTAGCCAAGGCTCTCGTGGTGGTGTTGCTATTGTAGCTGCTGCTGCTTCTTTACTTGATTTAAATATTTTTTTTATTTTTAAATTTTTTTCACGTTGAAATCAAAAGGTATCGCGGCCCGAGCCCAAACAGCTTCCCTCCCTCTCCTAGGAGAGCTCTGCTGGGATTTTACCCCCTCCTCTCGGTCCAGGGGAGAGCCTAACCCCGCCGAGCTGGAGCTGTCAGTGCTTTTTGTTGGATGCTGTGTGTGCGTGTGTTTGGAGTGTGCTCAGCGGGGAGGAGGAGTGAGGGGAGGAAGGCGAGGGAAGGCAAATTAGGAGGAGAAAGTGCCGCCGGCTGGGGGGAGTGCGAGGCAGGGGTGCTGCTCCAGCTGACCC